GCAGGAAACGGACATAAGAGAGAGAGAAAGGAAGAGAGAGAAAGCCCGGAAGAGAGACAAGGGGAGAGAGGGAAGGGGAAGGCCGGCGGCGGAGAGATTTGCAGGAGAGAGAGAGAGAGCGTCGGGAGAAAATGAAGAAGAAGAAGAAGGGGATATTAGGTCAGAGTTATTTGCGACGACATATTCGTCACAAATAAATTTAAAATGCCATCGCTAATAATAAAATATTTGCGACGACAATATCGTCGCAAATTAATAAAATGTTGTCGCAAATACTAAAATATTTGCGACGATATTTTCTCGCCGCAAATATTTTAAAGTCGTCGCAACTAATTTTTTTTCCCGCGCCTACTTTATCGTCAAATAAGATTATTTGCAACGACTATATAAAAATGTCGTCGCAAATAAGGTAAAACTATTTGCGACGATGAATGTCATCGCAAATAGTCATGACTTGTCGTCGCAAAAAAATGGATTACCTTGGCGCCAATAATCCGCGCCATTGAAAATTGCGCGCCAACATTTTTTGCGACGACAATGAAATTATTAGCGACGACATTGTTATTTTATTTAACAATAGGTATTTGTGACGACATATCGTCGCAAATAGTGTATTATTTGCGATGACAAATGTCGTCACAAAAAATGTCGTCGCAAAAAATGTCATCGCAAATGGGCTTAATTGTTGTAGTGTGACTAATTCTCTTCCTGTGCCCAAACATTTTCATGGCAGTGAATATGATTTATGAAAGGCTTTTTACCTTTGTTTACTTTATATTCTCGAGTTATTTTGAGATTATATTTTTGGTTTTCAATCGTTCCAAAAATATCAATTTAATATCTTCTGTCAATTTCTATTGGAAACTCACCTGAATAATGGTTCGGTACTGAAAAATCATCGTAACACAAACTAAAACTAAAAGATGTTAATTTTTTTTTTTTTTCACCAAAAATCCTTCCTACTACTATTAATAGTAATAATAATAATAATAAGAATAATAATAATAATAATAATAATAGTAATAATAGTAATAATAAAAAGTAGTAGAAGAAGAAGAAACATCAAATACCAATATGAATTAATAATTTTGTTAACTACTATTAACCAAAGGTATTGGTCCACAAACACAAGTCCTACTATCGAACCTACATTTACCAACGGTGAATTTAATTTTTTTTTTTTTAAAAAAAAAAGAATACATGTTGTTTATAAGCTTTCCGTACCATGATGGAATTTGATTACATATTAGTATACACCTTATCAAATTCTTAATATAACCATGCATCCAGCTGTCTGTTGGAGACAATCTTTATAAACGCACATCTACACATTCATTCATTCGCTCAAGACGATCTGTCTATATATTAACTACACACAATAACTATACCATCTCTCCCTGTTTGGAAAGATATTTCTACACTTAATGTGTCTGCCAAAAGTATCTTCATAAGTTTGCAGAATCAACATTTTTCTTGTAACATTTATTGTGGGTTTCTCTGAAGCTGGTTTCGTCTCAATTCAGCCAGCTTTACTCTTATACATATGCGTAATGTCTTGTTGGGGTATGTATATCACAACATATTGATACTATATGCAAAAATGAATTTACATTTCATTCTTTTCTTTCTTTCTTTTTTTCTTTTTGAGGAAATTATATTTACTTTTCTTTCTTCTTTTTTAGGTTTGGAGCAAAAGAAGTGAAATGTAACTTTGTGGAGAAGATGAATTGCCAATAGTAAATATTCAAGTTAGGGAAAAAAAAAAGAAAAAAAAAAAAAGAGAAGAAAAAAGAGCATATCCAATAGTGAATATTAATACTAAAAGTAATTCCGTGGAAGTTAAGCACATGACATAAAAGACAATGCCTTTAAACTTTCTAATTAATACTTATCTAGTGACGGTGTTAAATGAAGTACAACAACCATTGCAAAACTTGATAAGTAACAGTGTTCCCACAAGAGACCAATATTTATTAGTTACACATTACTCTATGTCTGAACTCTCTGCGTTGTCTTCTAAGTATCATGAAACGAATATGGCATTCACTAATTATTAATTTACTCACTATTGTTTGCATTATTATGAAAGTTGACTCAATTAGCGGCAATGTGCTTTCAAACATAAGCAAATTTCCTGCTTTTGAAGTAGTTTCATTTATTTTCATCAGGTGATACATGCTATGCCAAACGAAAATTAAACGTACGAATTAGCAACAATAACTGTGAGGTGTGATATGTTCTCAATCTTTTCTTCTTTTTTAGTTATAACTTATTATAGCATATTTTGACAATTATGATAATCACGGGAGCTAACTAATTCTTCCCATTGCCATTTCCGTTTCAATTATATATAAAACATTTTCCCTTTTATTAATGAATATATTAAGAATAGATTATCGTAAATGAATTTAATTTTATTCATAACACTAACTGAGAAAAAACTAGTGTTAGCTATCTCTAACTTCTGTTGTTGAACAGTGAACACTTAGCATTATAGTTGAATTTTTCTAGTTTAATTGAAGAATATATATTAATATTTACACAAGCACAGTATATAACTGTGTATGTAAATGTTTCGTTCAATTTTCTCCGATAATTTAAAAAAAAAAAAAAAAAAAAACTGAAATGAAATGAAGTTTTCTTCAATATTACTATAATAGAAACAACTCGTAACTATTTTACTTAACAGCATGTAGTAATTGATGATACTAATTGAACAAACAACCATACCAAATTAAGCGATTGAAAGCTCACTAATAACTTTTAAGAAAACGACTCAATTAATTGTTCAATCATCAATCTTTTTTTTTTTTTTTGAAATTTTTTATTTTTTTATTGTTGAAAAAATTAGTTACCGAATTACAGCAATATTTGATCCCTTATTGTTTCTTCTTTTTTCCCTATCCCACTGTTTTTTTCTAGAACTTTTTCCCACTGTTTTTCTTTTTTGTTTTTTTTGTTTTTTTTTACCACTGTTAGACGACGCGATAACGAGGGTTTTTTTTTATATTATTTTAAATGAAGCGATAACAAGTTAACAGCAGAAGGAAGCGAAGGTTAGGAGGGGCACATTATTGGCCGCGTGGACCGTTACAAAACAGTCAACACAAACCCAGACGAAATCTCCATGCAGGCAGGGGTAATTCCGTCATTCAATAGAAGGAGAAAAAGCCGCCTCCTCATCACCCTGCATCATCCCTGATCAGTGTAACCGCACGCGCAACATACTTCGGATCCCAGTAAGTAACCTTCGCCACGTGACAATCGCTCAAACGACGACGTTTCCTAAGCACGTGTCGTCATCAAAATCGGAAATCCCAAACAAAGAAAGCCCCGAGGACGCACGTGCCGCACTCTCTTCTCTACTTCCAAGTTTACCTCATCAGTGAGTTACTTTTCGACCATCATTTTAACCGCGGTTAAATTTATAAGAAGGATTAACATTAAACCACTCGTAATTACAATTATGTACGTACCTAATTATCTCCCGTACGCCCCGTGGTATAAATATCCCCCAACCACCTCTGTATCTTTTCCAAACTCTTTCTCTCTCTCTCTCTCAGCTCAGAGAAAGCCAAAAACCAGAGAGAAGACCCAGAATTAAAGCCTTCCTTTTCTCTCTGTAGTACGAACTGGCGATCTCTGTTCGGAAACCCTAATTTCTCAGGCCTGGCCTGAAAAGCCTGTTTCCTACATTCAAAGCATGTATAGCTTCAGAGCTTTTCTTTAAGGCGGTCCTGCGAGTTTCAGCATACATCGTTGCACACAAATTCTGAGCGACTGGGAAAAAGTGTTTTTCCTTTTTTCCATTTCTCTTTTTCCTGCTCCAAAATACCTTCTGGAATCCGATTCCGTCGCGATCTCGAATTCAACTTTGCTTTTGATTTTTTCTTTTGAGCAGTTAAATCCGATTCTCTTTGCTTGTTATTTAGTTCAGTCTTTGTTTTCTCGGCGAGAGAGAGCATAGGGGGATCTGAGACTGGGGCTTCTTTTATAAGATGTTAGAGCTTGGCTTTGGCCGTGACTCAGACGGTGATTTAAGCTTCGAGACAGTTCATTCAAGCCAGAGCTCGATGAGTAGCGAGAGCTGCAGCAGTTTCAGCCGCTTCTCTTTCGACGCCACGGCGGCGGCGATGCTCGAGCCTCCGACGTCATCAACGACGATGGCCAAAAACGACAACGAAAACAACGATAACAACAACAATCTCTCGCTGAAGCCTCACCGGTCGTCGGACTTCGCCTACTCGGCCATCCGCTCCGCCACGTTTGGTCGGAAGTCCGGCCTTACATTCCGCGACTTCCGGCTGATCCGCCGGATCGGCTCCGGCGACATCGGCACCGTGTACCTCTGCTGCTTGAGGAGCTCCGACGACGGCGAAGAGGATGGCGATTGTCCGTGCTTCTACGCGATGAAGGTGGTGGACAAGGAGAATCTGGCGGTGAAGAAGAAGGTGCACAGAGCGGAGATGGAGAAGAAGATCCTCAAGATGCTCGATCATCCCTTTCTTCCCACTCTCTATGCTGAGTTCGAGGCATCACATTTCTCTTGCATCGTCATGGAATTCTGCTCCGGCGGCGATTTGCATTCTCTCCGCCACAAACAGCCTCAGAAGCGTTTCTCCCTCAACTCCGCTAGGTACATTTTCTCTCTTCCCTGTCCAACGTACAGTGTATAAAAGCTTTTCAATTTTGAAGGAAAATTCCAAAATCTTAAAATATTTTTTATTTTCTCTTTCCTGTTTAGAATTGTTCAAAAGGCTTTAGCGTCTTAAAAACAAAAGGAGGAACTCTGATTTGTTTTATCTCGTTTCCGTGTTTTGTTACGAAACGGGACTGGGACTACGATTGAGAAGTTCCTTTCTTGTCTGCTTTAGCTTCTGGCGCAAAGTCTTCTCCAGTTTAGAAGAATATTCTTATTTCTTCGTTTTTTTCTTCTCGCAAAATTTTCTCTTTGTTTTTTTCCTCTGGAGAAACAAACAACTCTTTTTCTGGAAAAATGGCTGTCTGGTCAGCTCAATATATTTTTTTCCCTCTCTCTCCTCACCATGCAGCTGAGATTTGCTTCGATTATTGTCTCGTCTTTAGCCGCAAACTTCCATTAATGAAAATCTTCCGCGATTTTTCGATCAATTGCAAACGTCTATCTTTTGTATCGTTTATTTCGAAATCACATTTTCCACTTTAAGCACAATGATACTGTTTTTAGCTTCTCATGCAAGCTATCAGAGCTTAAAATCAATTTTTTCCGTTTGACTTTTCTTTCTCATTCTTCAAGACTGACACAACTCGACCGATTCAACTCATTCTAACTCGTACTTGTCCTCTTTTTCTGTTTCTTTATTTTTTCAGGTTTTACGCAGCTGAAGTTCTCGTGGCTCTAGAGTACCTCCACATGCTGGGTATCATCTACAGAGACCTTAAACCCGAGAATGTGCTCGTCCGATCCGACGGCCACATCATGCTCTCCGACTTCGACCTCTCTCTATGCTCTGACGCTATCCCAGCCGTCGAATCTCCCGAGTCCTCACCCTACGCCGCGTCCCCATCAACTCCATCCAACGCCCGCCCGCACACCACCACCGCCCCCTCCACGTCAGCATCACTAACTCCCTTCTCGTGCTTCCCCAACCGGCTATTCCGGTCTCGCCGGGTCCAGACCCTCACGGCGAACCACCGGCTGTTCGTGGCGGAGCCGGTCGCCGCCAGGTCCTGCTCCTTCGTCGGGACCCACGAGTACGTGTCCCCGGAGGTCGCCTCCGGCGGATCCCACGGAAACGCCGTCGACTGGTGGGCCTATGGCATCTTCATCTACGAGATGATCTACGGCCGTACGCCGTTCGCGGCCCAATCCAACGAAGCGACGCTGCTTAACATCGTGAAGAAGCCGCTCGTTTTCCCGAACCCCACGCCTCGGAGCGCTCTTGAGCATCACGCGCGGGACTTAATTTCCGGGTTGTTGGATAAAGATCCGACCCGAAGACTCGGGTCTAAGCGTGGTGCGGCCGACGTGAAGAAACATCCGTTCTTCAAAGGGCTGAACTTGGCCTTGATCCGGTCGTCATTGCCGCCGGATGTCCCGGGGTTAAGAAGGCAGAGAACGACGTCGTTCGGTCAAGGTGGTAGTAAAAATGCTGATAGGAGTAGATCACAATCGACGGCGTTTGATTACTTCTGAAAGGGAACGGCGGGATTCGTGCCACGTGTCGAGTCGGTCTGCCAGATTTTGTCACTGGCTGGAGATGGACAGTTGTGTACATTCGAGCTGTCTCATTGTTTTCTTTATTTTTTTTCTTTGATAATTTGATGTTTCTCTTTAGTACGTATAATTACGTAAATATTTTTCTCGGAAGACGAAAACTGAAAATTGAGAAAAAAAAAAGAAAAGAAAAGAAAGCAAGATGTATGTTACTTACACGTAGGTTTATGGTGCAGTAGAGACTAGAGAGAGAGTAAAAGCTGTGGAGTGTGAAGAGAGAGAGAGAGAGAGCGCGAATGAGATAAATATTTGTGGGTATATTCCAAAGTTGTTCTGATCAGTAAACAGTATGTCGAAACAGTGTTGAACCTTGGAGAAACACTGTGGAGTCTATGAGAGATGGTGGGGTAATATTAAGGAATGAGGATCATATTCTGCGTTTTTTTTTCCTTAAAAAAAAGGAAAAGAAACGATTACTATATTAAGGAATGAGGATCATATTCTGCGTTTTTTTTTCCTTAAAAAAAAAAAGGAAAAGAAACGATTACCATATCCTAATTCATTGGTCGGTCTTCTTCGGAAAACACCAATTCCATTTCTTTATGCTGGATTTCCACGCTATCTGACTTGGATTCTCATCGGAAAAGAAAGGTTTAATTAGTGGACACAAATATATAATGATTCTATCAATTATGAGCATTTTAATTCAGTTGCACCATTATTAGCCTTTTGACTTGTTTTCCTCTAAAAACAAACAAGTTTGATTAGGGTTTGGGGTACCCATTTCGCCTCTTTCTCTATATATGGCAAACAAGATAGTTATAATTATTGTTTTTTGTTCGAGATGTTGCGTATATTAATTAAGGTTCTTGGAAGTTTCTAATTATATGGAAAGTATTAGTTTAATTTGGACGGCTTCTCATACTTCTGGAACCTTAATACGTATTGGTGCAATTAATAATGGGTTTCTGCAAGTGTTTCTTGAAGGAGCATCTTTTTGCCTCATGTATTATTCGTTTTTTCTTATTTGTCTTATTTTATATAAGTTGAAGATCCTTTCTATTGGCTAAAAATATTAGCAAAATCCCTATAAAAAATTAATTGTTCTACACAAAGTAAATAAGGATTCATCACATAAGACTACAGGTTAGCAATTTGGCTTAGTGTAAACTGACTTTTTTCAAGCTCAGATAATTATTTATTGGCTGAAAAATATTAAAGAAAATTAACAGGTTGATGTTTTCTTTTTGTTCATTGTACTGACACACACACACACACACACATATATTAGCATATGCATGTGTATGCATAAAGTTAATATACTTCGGGATTGATGATAAGTTCTGGTCTATAAAATGATGCATAGTTTTTTACTAACTATGAAGCTACGCAGAGAGTTCTTATACCTATTTTCAGCTGCCTATACTACAATAATTCATCAATCGACTGCTCTACATATGTTCAGCTCAAATTAGGTATACTATTCGTTACTGTATGGCACAATAATTCCATATCTACAATTAGGTTTTGCAACAACCCTAGGTATTGCTACTAAAAAAAAAAAGCAAATAATTCTTCAAAATAATTTTAAATACATTTATATATAGTTATAGGATAAATGTACACACATATATATATATATATGATGTGTGTATGGTCTGCATTAATTGATCCAACTGCTAAGTCCTCCAAATTATTTTGAATAAAAAATTAAACAAATAATATTAAAAGAACAATTTGATAATTCAGAATTAAGAAAAACATCTCCGATAAAAGAGACAAATTGAATCAGAGAAATAAGTACATTCATGCACCGAATTACATTGTAAACAGACATATTATCCATCAACCGACATGGATACGAAATACTACGTACAATCTTAATATTGTTTAAACACTAAACTCTATAATTTCTTCTTTTTTTTTTCAGAAAACAAACTTAATAAATTACAGCACCATATTGCATGGAGCACCGGAACCCCTTATAGATTAATTTATCCCTGTCAAAACCATACCCCAAATTTCCGTAGAATTTAGACTTCAAAAGTAGATATTATGTTTGTTGTTAACTTATTCGGTTAAAAACCAAACAATTTCCATAGCCTTTGACTTAAAAAAAGAGTTTGGAATAATGTTAGGTTGCGTTTGGTATGAGGGTTTTAGAACTGGAATTATGATTCTGATTTAAACCTTTATTTGTTTACAAAAAGTAAAAAATAGTTTTTTAAAATCAGTGTTTAGTTTAGATGATTCTGGTTCAAAGTTTAATTAAACCATAATTATCCAAGAAAATAAAACTATCTCCCCCTTAATTTTGAATAGTTTAAACTATTGATTCTGATTCTGCTCGAAAACTATAGTTTAAATCTCAAATTTAAACTAAAAATCATAATTTTAATTTTAAAATTAAAATCATCCAAGTACCAAACGTAACCTGAGTTAATGTGGTTAAATAAAAACCTCATTGAGTAGCCAAAACAAAAAACAAAAAAAAACCTTATTACGTCCTTCTAGAAATCCAAGAACGGGCCCCACCAACCACCCGCCGCGTAGACAGTAAGGGAATTTGACAAATCACGTGGGGACACAATGGATACATCCGACGGCTGAGATCATCACTATCATCTGGTTACTTTTCATTAATTTGTTTAAAAATTCTTTTAAAAAGTATTTTAAATCATTGGACGATAATAATTTAGTTGAAATCAAAGCCCCAAAAGGGGGTAAAGGGCAGAAAATAAATTAAAAACAAATTAGGAGCTTTTTGCATAAGCCGAGGTTGTAATACTTTTATTAGTAATAGAGGATTAATCAGTTGCAAGGCTCAAGTTCTTTATCGCTCGTGCAAACCACGAACCAATAGGAAGAGGGTGGTTCATGTCACCGTCGGTAGGGAATCTCACACAAAAGGAAGTGGCCTTTGACAACACATGGGCTTGTCCATGTGACCACCTGCCAACCAGGCAGCCCAAGCAGCTCACTTTAAGGCCCTGTCCCCTTCCCTGTCTGATCCCTACCCCACCCAAGGCAGTCCCATCAGCCCAATCATGTCCTTCCACGTGGACCCACATTTTTGCCACGTGCCATTTGCCCTTTTAACCAAAGACATTATTGGGTCATCACTTTGTGGAATATCATTAGGGATTGAGAGACTAGTGCAAGGGCTGTTGAAATGATTTGGAACCAAAATGTGGTAAAGGAATGCTTGGTATTTGGTAAAGAGGTGATGATGGGAAAGGAGATGGAGAACTGAGAGTGAACAAGATTGGGAAGCAAAAAAAAAAAAAAAAAAAAAAAAAAAAAAAAAAAAAAAAAAAAAAAAGGGGGAGTGGGGGAGGAGGGGG